CAACATGAAGGGCAACACCGGGAGACTTGACTTGAGGCAGCCCTTCCTGACGTTCGCCTTGCATTCTCAGCTCGCACGTTGAAGTTACAAAGCGGCAAAGCCTCATCTAACAAACCTTGAGCTGTGGCAGGGCCGCAGTACTGCGTCTGCAACGGAGAACCTTCCACTCTCCACGCCGCATTTGGCGAAGGCCGGCGTTATCTCAAGGTTTGCAAAGACACGGCCTAGCTTTAATCGTGAAACTCATTGGATTGAAGAGGTACCAAGTTCCTTTGACAAGGTATGGACGGTATGCAGATGATAGATTTCTCCAGGCTGAATCGCAAGACAACTTTCAGAAGTGCGGGAGTCTCCGAGGCTCGAGATGCACTCCAGCGGCATGCGCTGGGAGGCGGTGCACGCGGCGATTGCGCGTGGGATGCATCGCTGCAGCCTGGCTTCCGGAAGTTAAGATTCTCGGCTTTGGGGTTGGCCTAGGTAAGACCCAGGGAAAGATCCAAGAGTTTCTGTATTGGTTTTCTGTGGAGCGAAGCAGGAGACAGAAGATTCTGCGCATTAGCAGCAACATTTGCCTTTCTTCTATGAGGGTGGAGTTTTCATCAACCAGCAAACCTGCAGGTTCTTGTGCAATCTTGTGCGCAAGATTTTAAGAAGTTGGGTTTGCTAAGGCTTAAAGTCCCGAGCCAAGGAAGGTCAGAAGCTTGTGTGGCTTTATTCAGGTGTCAGATGGTGACGAGCGAAGCATCAGCCCCCTCTTCACACCGCAAGGTTGCTATGGTTTTGCAAGACAACATGCTCAAAGTCAATGAGAACTCAACATTGACTGACCTGCAAAGGACAGTACATGCCGTTGCCGCCCCGGGGCCCCACAGTTCCCTGAACGTATATTGAAATTCTTAAAGCGTGAACCCCCTCCTGCTTTCCAGGTGCCCGCAGAAGTACGATGCACGCTCTCTAAACTCCACGTTGGTACCTCAGATTCTCAGTGGACTGCATTTGAAACTTGCGAAAGTAGAGACTTGCCAAAGCCAGATGAGTGCTGTCAGCTAGCGCTATAGCACGGGATTGTGCATGAAAGCGCTCCATTCTCGTGAGGCAGCAGCTTGTGACCGACCTTGTCAAGAAGGTTCTGAAGATCCCGGGCAACGTGCTCCCGCCCGGGCACAGTGAGGACTGCATTAGGAGATTTGATGATGCAGCGCGATGTAGCAGAATGTAGCACTGCTGCAATGGTACCTTGTCTGGCGACCGGCCAGTTGCCAACATGCCAAAATCACAAAAACGTGTTCAGTTTCATTCAGAAGCCAAAGCAGTAAAAGGTTGAAGGCTTGAAAGAGCTTCAGCCCGTAAGCCTTCAAAAGCTGCAGGAGTGGCCCAAATGGACGGTGCCCTTGGGCTGGGCTTTGAATAGCAACGGCCCAATCAGGCACCTCAAGATGCAATGGCTGCACTTTTGTCGGTGTAGTCTTTTACGCAAGAAAACTTCCCAATACTTCAGTATCCTTGTCAGGCTTATGCAGAGAACCTTCCTTGTGTGTGCGTGCTAGGTGAATTATTTGTTTGGGCTTGTTTGTATAGATTGATTGTTGATTTTCTATGGGGTTCTGGAACATCCTTTCCAGCCAAGGGAGAAAGCGCCGGAGTTCTACATGTGGCGCGATCTCGTGGTGGCTCAGCTCTTTTTTGAATGATCCCTGGTATGACGATCGGTCGGAGCGCCCTGCAAGATGTGTTGACATCTGTGCAACCCTGGCAAACTTGATCAATCACCCACTTGTAGGTAGGGCTGTTCCTGTCTTCCTTGCGCCCTTCATGTTTGACGCTGCAAAGCTACGAAGGTTCCCGTCGTGTTGCCCTGAATGCCTCTGGTTCAATCGTGTGCGGCTAGAACAGCCTCAGGGACGTCTCTGCTGGAAGTCTCCAGGTCTCCTGTCAGCCGACCTAGCCTCGCTGAGGTTTGGTGCAAGTACATCTGCCTTGATCCTCAGTGCAGGCAGGGCGCTCATGTCCTGTTGATGTGGTTGTGCTTGAATTCAACGCTCCGTTCATGCCTTGAACGCAAGTGCATGCAGCAACAGGCAGTTCAAGGGAGTCTGGTCCGCCAAAGATGCCACGATTCGCTGGGCTGTGGGCTACTGCCAGCCCTGTGAGATCCTCAAGGCAGTCTGCTGTGAACCAGCAGCTTTGTTACAGAGCAGCGCATAGTTCGAGGAGCGGTAGTAGAGGTTGTTGCAGTGGAAGTCGCAGTGGCAGAGGTAGTGCTGGAAGTCGCTTCGTCGACGTAGCCGCCCCCCACCTATGATGTTCTCCAGTCTGTACGTGTTGAAGCCATGTAACAACTGCGGAAATCCAGGCTGCGGCTCACTACTACTACCACTACCACTACTGCTGCTACAACTACTACCACTACGTATAGTTGTTACTTCTTCTACTGCTGCTAGGAGCGGCGGGGAAAAACCCTCGTGATGTGACATGTGCGTGATTCATACGCTGAAAGTGCTTCTTGTGACCAATCGTTTTTGGACACGGCGACCCTGTGAAAAGCAAGTTGTGACAAGCTTTCGCCAAAAGATGTTAGCTCATGCGGTGGCGTGGTAAAGCTCCGCAGTCAAACCACCCGTCAGCTTGAAGGCCTTTATTTATCCCAACTCGTGTCCACTACAAACCTCCGCTCAGATGCTAACCCCCCAAAGCTGCAAAACAAAAAATGTGGTCTACTGAAGCATCATCAGGATTGAGGGGCTAGTTTTACAGTCGGCATTATGATGCTGTTATTGTTCTTATCGTCATGCTATTGTTTTCGCTTTATTACAGTTCTGTTCACCGTATTAGCATTATGATTCTGTTATATCCGTGTTATTATGATTGTACTCTCTCATCCCATCACCACTACGGTTGCAAGTGCTCAACGGGGAAAACATCGCATACCATGTTATTTCTGTTTCTTGGGGTCTTATCTTACCATTCTATCTGCAGCTTTTGAGCAAGTAGCAGCAGTCCAGTCAAAGCAGACTGAACAATGTGTTGCGAACAGGCCCAGATGCATGCCTTCAACATCAAGTTTGACATGCTGGCTAAAGGCGCGGCGGGCAGATCGTTAGAATCTGCAGGTCTTCAATGATGAGCTTTGCCCATCAGCAGACTATCTGACAGCCCCAATCTGCCAACCCAAATTCGCATCATCCACAGCAAAAGAATTTCCAGAGCCTGAAACCGATGGTGAGCATACGCGAGCCCTCGACTCTTGGACGGATTCTGAACCTTATATCCTTTCCAGGCTTCGTGTCTGCCAGTGGTGCGGACCTCACAGCTGCGGGGCTGAAGGCATGGGTAAGACATGTCGCTCAGACAATTTGCTTGAGAGCTGCAGTTTCCGGGTTGATTGCAAGCCTCTTATGGATGTGCATTGCAAAGCCCCAGACTCAGACCTCTACATCCTCCATGCCCAGCATCATAAGATCCACGCAGCAGACGCCAAATCTTTTGAAGTCTTCGTGAGCAGGGCGCGCGCTCCGAAGATGATGTAATCCACGCTCCGACTCTGCCAGACTTCGGCAAGGCGCTGCTCAGGGTCTTCGAATCATTTTCGATTCCTGCCCGGAACGCTCTGCAGCTTTGATTGTTGTCGACTCCAGACTTGGTTCCATCAGGGTTTGCCACTACCTCTGGCCTTTGAAGCACTACACTTCCTCGGGGTGCGGATCTGGAGCTGATTTTCAGCGTCTGGATTTCGAACGTTGTCAGCTTGCGCGGAAGAAGCAGAGACTATTCAGTGCTGTTTTCCCACTGGATGAGGCCTTTGCGCAGGAGGAGGCCGAGCATGCGTTGACCTCAGCAATGTCTGGTCTTGCAAGTCTACCCACAGCCTGCAAGGATCATACTTTGAGGAGCTCAATTTTCAGCATACAGAGCTTGAGTGTGAACCTCAAGATTCAAAATCAAGATCTTGCGGTGAAGGGCGGATGCATCAGCAGCCATGTGAGCACTGATCCAAATAATCTAGATTTCTTTGTACTGGGTGGTCGGGTTATCTCACATCGGCTGGGTTTTTTACACATCGAGCAGCGTCCACACTGGGGGACCCAGTTCAAAAGCATGCACTCGAGTAGATGTTGTGCAAAAGCGACTCCTGCAGTTGT